ATTGGACTAGCCTCCAGGGGCTAAAATCAGCAATTTATGCAACATGGCTTTTCTGCCACCTTATGAGTATATCTTGTGTTTCATAAGAACATAAGAATTGCCATTTACTGGATCAGGCCATAGGTCCATCTTGCCCAACCTCATGTGTCATACAAGACTAGTTTGAGGGCCATTGGGCACTGTCCAGTGCACTCTACCTTTGACCCTCACTCCTGTCACTGTTTTCTTTAGTTGTCCCCCATAATCACTTGATCGGCACTTAGGCTAGGGACAGACATTACACATAAACTGGTTTAAGTGATCAGAAACTGGTTTAAACCTGTAACAGAACAGATGTTCAATACAGATAAACATCTGAAAATGGCTGAAATCAGTTTGAGATAAATCTGGTTGAATATAATACCAGACTTAACTGATTTGGGTCAAACCAGTTTATGCTATGTCTGTCCCAGACCCCTTGCTGGTGTAAGTTAAATCAGAGTCCCCCAGCATCCCGACATATTCTCTGGGCTGGGCAGGGGTCTCTGCTCCACAGCAGGGCTGGCCCCTCCCCTTTGCTCCCTGGCTGGAGCTCAGCACAGACCTGCAGGCACAGCAGGGTCTGCTGGCTTCCCCATGCTCCCCTCGTCCCCCCATCACCACTCATTGCCTAAGCAGAGATCCCTTCCTCCTCTCTGCCACAGCAGGGACTGTAGCCAGCACGTGGTATGCTAGCTAGTGCTGAGAGGTGTCTGTATGTGTGTCTCTCTCCAATTTCACTGGGATAGGCAGACAGAATATGGGCTTTTGGAGCTAATCAACAGGTCAGCCAGTAAGCTGTTTAAGAAGTTTGAAGTAATGTGGAGAGAGGTTATTGTTTTGCTAATTGGGTGGTAAAGACTGTTATCAGTCCCTGTCCCCTCTCCCACTCTGCTTGCTTGCCTATCAGTTTGCTGCAGACAGTATGATGAAGCAGGGAGGGAGACTGAAAACAGATCATCAACAGATGCATGCACTGCACACTCCCCCTTGCCTGAGCGTGCTAGCCCAGGCTGGGGGTCAGCAACACTCCCGCCTCTTGAGGAGTCATTGTGGAAAAGCCTGGGACTGTGAAGAAAGACGTCCCTAATGAGAGCATCCTGCTGGGGCCTGGCCACAACCTCTTAGCTCAGCTCCCTGCAGAAGGGAAGAGAGGGCTGCTCTAGCACCCCCAGCTTCTGGCTTGAGCCACTGCAGGCACGTGCCCGAATTTCCTCAGTCCAGAGACAAGGTCTGTCCAGTTTCAAACCAGTTCAGCCTAGCCATGTTAGACTAACCTGCAAAGATTCATAGATTCATAGATTGTAGAGTCAGAAGGGACCCCGAAGGATCATTGTGTCCAAGCCCCTGCCCCAGGCAGAAAAGAGGCCAGGTGCCTGTCTAGCCTCCTTTTGAAGACCTCCAAGTTAGGTGATAGTACCACCTCTCTTGGCAGCCTGTTCCAGATTCTGGCCACCCTTACTGTGAAAAATTTCTTCCTACTGTCTAACTTTAATCTACTTTCCACTAGTTTGTACCCATTATTCCTAGTTATTCCTAGGGGTGCACTGGTAAATAGCACATCTCCAGTTCTCTGTTGTCCTCCCTTGATAAACTTATAGGCTGCTACAAGGTCTCCCCTCAGATGTCTCTTGTGAAGGCTGAAGAGATCCAGATCCCTCAACCTCCGCTTGTAGGGTCTTGCACAGAGACCACTAATCGTATGAGCGGCCCTCCTCTGGACCCTCTCCAGATTCTCTGCATCTCTCTTGAAGTGTGGCGCCCAAAACTGGACACAGTACTCCAACTGTGGCCTGACCAATGCCGCATAGAGGGGGAGCATCACTTCCCTCGGTCTGTTGGTCATGCATCTGCTAATGCACGATAAGGTGCGATTGGCTTTGTTGATGTCTTCGTTACACTGCTGGCTCATGTTCATCTTGGAGTCAACTATGACTCCAAGATCCCTTTCAGCTGCTGAGCTGCTGAGGAGGTCATCCCCCAACCTAGGTGTGCTGGGGATTCCTCCTCCCTAGGTGGAGTACCTTGCATTTGTCTTTGTTGAATTGCATACTGTTTCATTTTGCCTGTTGATCCAACCTGTCCAGACTGGCCTGTATCCGTCCCCTGCCCTCCAGTGTATTAACTTTGCCCCATAACTTGGTGTCATCTGTGAACTTGGATAGATTGCTCTCCACACCCTTGTCCAAATTGCTGATGAAGATATTAAATAACACGGGTCCAAGGACCGAACCCTGCAGGATACTACTGCCCACCTCCTTCCAGGCTGAAAATGACCCATCCACCACCACTCTCTGGGTGCAGTCCCTAAGCCAGTTTACCACCCACCTGACTGTGTAAGCATCCACTCCACAGCCTGCTAGCTTCCTTATGAGAATAGGATGCGAAACTCTATCAAAGGCCTTCTTAAAGTCCAGGTAGATGACAACTGCCTCAGCTCCAGTGTCAAGGCAGTGTGTTACCTGGTCGTAAAAGGCTAATTGATTGAATCAATTCAGGCTCAGGCTTTTTGAATACCTGTCCCTAGCCTTAGTGGACCCCTAGATTAAGCGGGGCTTTTAGGTTTACTTGATGAGCACTGGCCCTCCGCTCCCAATGCACATCAAATAGGCCTGTGTCACACAGTGGCAGAGAGTGGATGCCAAAAGAGAAAGTCAACTGGGGAAGATCAGGGTTTTTTTCCTACTGTTCCTCTCTCACTTGTAGTCTCCAGGTTTCCTTTTTAAATCTTATATCTGAGAAGCATAGTACAGCAACTGCAGGAAAAACAGAACGCCATTGTGATGCTGGGTGTCCCCATGTTTGGGGGCACCTCCATCCGAGGAGGCTTCTCCAGGAAATGTCAGTGTATTTCACTGCCTGGGATGTGAGATCCTGGAATGCAAAACCAGGTATTACCTAGCAGAGTTTGGGCCTCTTTCAGAAAGGTCTCCCAAACAGAGACGCTGTCTCTAGAGTTCACCTTATTCTACTGCTACCAAAAAAAAATTGTCCTCCCATTTGGGCTCTTTGCCTGCCAGAAGTTAACCATGTTGGGTCAGTTGTGTGGGTGTACGTGTGTGTATGTGTATGTGGGTATATGTGTCTATGTAGATTCCTGTGTGATGTGTATGTGGATATACATTGAATTATAGAATTAGGGTTGGAAGGGACCTCAGAAGGTCATCTAGTTCAACCCTCTGCTCAAAGCAGGACCATCCCCAACTAGATCATCCCAACCAAGGCTTTGTCTACCTGGGTCTTAAAAACCTTTGCCGGGTCTGGTGGTCAACATCCCCTTTGTTGCTCTTCCCTCTGACTCTAACCCAGAAACTTTCAACAGGCCTGTTTCCAGTTTCATACTGGAGCTCTGAGCTATCATATGGCTCCTTTACATAAAGCGCAACTCCTCCTTTTCTCCTCTGCCTGTCCTTCCTGAATAATTTGTGCCCATCCATGACACTGCTCCAGTCATGAGAGCTCCCACCAAGTCCCTGCTATTTCATTCACTGTATATGTGTATATATGTGTGCCTACATAAATACCCCACATATACACACGTGTGTGTATACATGTGTGTCTGTGTATATACATATATAAAAATGTGTGTGTATGTGGGGTATGGATATTTGGGTGTATGTCAGTATACCTGTATATATCCATGTGTGGGGGGATGTGCATATTTTGTTATACACATGTATGTGTGGGGGTGTATGTGGTATGTGTGTGTGTGTCCTTTCCTTTTTTCGGGTTCTTGTGTGACAAGACATTTAGTGGAAGTTGCAGATTCGTTGGTACCTGACAGGGCTGCGCTGTGTGCACTTCTGCTATGGCCTCAAACTTCCAAACTCTGGGCTGTGAACCCCATGCTTTAGCACCTGTGCCACCCCAGCCCAACTATGTGGGGGTGGGGGTGGGGGGGATATATGTGGCTGTACATGTAGGTGTGTGTGTGCATGTATATATGTGTACATGCACCTGAGTGTATGCATGTGCACAGGTAGCCACTTACACCCCCATGCATGTGTGCACACACACATACACTCATGTGCACACACACATATATACACATACATGTAGGTGTGTGTACACCAAGTACACCCCTGAAATATGGAAGATGCCGAATTTTAGCCAATTTTGGATTTTAAACTTCATTGCAGAACGAGGAAGTTTTTTTTACCTCCCTGCCTGCCATCTGACTCCTCCAGGGAAGGAATTCTACCTGACCAACATATCAAAGAGCTACTCAACACAGCTCACAAGGACACTGTCATGGACCCAGAGGGACAGACTTCCATCTTCAGCTCCCTCTGTGTAAAAATGAAGTTTATTTCCTACCTATGGGGACTTTTTACCATCTTGTACCATCTACACTTTTCCCAGAGCCTGACAAAGGGACTTTGATCCCAAAAGCTTGCAGAAAAAGACAATTTTCTTGCCATTTTCCAGTTGGTCTAATAAAAGGTATCATTTTGGAACCAAGAGTTCTAGTTTTTTGTATGTATATATAATACACACACACATTTATGTGTAGACACCCCCTACATGGACAGCTACACACATGTACACCCATGCAGATAAATATGTATGTGTGTATATACATATATGTGCGTGTGATGTCTACGTGTGTGGGAGTACACGTGTGTGTACATGCATGTATACAGACCCGTAAGTACACGATCCTCCCCTCCCAGGCGCCCCCGGCCGGTGGCAGCCACTTTTCTCCTCCCCTCCGCTCTCCTCCTCCCATTTTCCGCCCGCCCGAGCGGCTCCGCCCCAGCTCGGCGGAGCCGCGAAACACAGCATTTCCCCGCAGCCCCGAACGCGCCCGCGCGCCCCTCCGGCTCCTCCTCCTCGACCTCGGGGCGGGCCGGCTGCGGCTGCGGCCTGACAGAGTCTCCGCAGCTCGTGATTGGCTGGCGGGCCGGCCGGGTGGCTGGGGCGGCCTCTCGCGCCACTTTCAGGCGCTTTGGCGCGCGGGACGCCGGGCGACGTCATGGCCGAGAGGGAGGCCGGCCGCACGGGTGAGAGCGGCGCGAGCCCTTGCCGGGCGGCCGCGCACGGCTTCCCCTTCTCCCTCCCCCACTCCCCTTGCACCTCACGCGCGGCCGGGCGGGACGGGCTGCAGCGGCGTTTGCACGTTTCTGGGTGGGAGCCCTTCCATGGGGCCTTGAAAGCGGGTACTCCTTCCCCGCCCTCCTTGCATGCTCTCCCTTGCCTCCAAGCCGGTTGGGAGGGGTTGCACAAAGCGTCACTTGTGGGGTGGGCAGGGGCCCGCGTAGATGCAGGTGACCGCAGGCCCAGATACACTCCCCCAGACAGACAGACATGCACACATGGTCACACCTCAGGCAGATGTGTGCACATGCATAGACATGCATCCAGACATATGTTGGCAGCATCACTTCCCTTAGCCCTGGATTTCTTCTTCCTCCTCCTCCTGTAGAATCAGAGTAGCCCAGGGGGGTTGGGAATCTCCTGTGCATTTGCTTGGAGGGAAAAAAAAATCTCTGCATATGCAAAGTATACTTTCTTCTTTCATATGGCTGATTTGGAGCAACAATTATAGGTTCAGTTTAAGGTTAGTTAACCAATCTGATGCCCTTGAGGAAAGAGAATGTATCTCCGCAATGCTGCTGTCAAATTTGTATAGAGGGCAGCATTGTTATGTGGTCCATAGTTTGATCAGGATTGCCACAGTCCTATTTTGCAGAACTCCTAATACTCCATTTGTGGATCAGGTGACTGCAGTGGCCATTTCCAGCTCAGATACGTTTTAGAGCCTTCCATATTTTCCGCGGAAGGTCAAAACCAGGAGGCTTTGTTGTTGGATTGGAAATTAGGTGTTTATTCCGAACGGTGGTTTCATTCCATGCTTTCCTCCAAGCTGCTGCAAAGTAACCAGTGCTGAAGCACATACATTCTCCATCACACGATTTTTCTGACATTTCCTGTAGCTTCATGATTGCAGCAAATTTCTAAGTTGAGGGCACGGTTAATGGTGTTTCCCACCTATCTCCAGGAGTCTCATCTTAGTGCACATACCACCATCAGGGCCAACGTTTTGGCAACACAAATCAAAATCAGTCCTGTTGAAAGTTAAGCAGGTGGTCAAGGTTTGTAAGTGAAAAATGACAGAGCTGATGGTCTTGATGTTAATTCAAGGCTGGCCAACTGGTAGCCTGTGGGCTGCATGTGGCCTGTGATGGGTTAACTTGTGATTCACCTGGCCACTGCTTCCTTTGTTGTTCTAGCTGCAGTGCTCCAGCTCCCTCCTCTGATTTCTCCTGCTTGACCTAGCCCCAGAGGGGCAGTCCATAGTGCTGGGGGAGTTGAAGACCCAGAGTGCCCAGAGGGCGTGGTGCAGTGGGGAAGTCCTTTGGTTGTGTAGCTGCAGGTGAAGCAGGGTACCGTGTGCAGTGCAGCAGGGAGCAGGGGAGCACCCATGCAGTGCCCAAGGGTGGGGCTGGAGGACACCTGTACAGGTGTTGTGTGCATGGGGGAGTACCCATGCATGTACAGCATAGGGCCTGTGGCTCCCACAGCAGGTGGTCCCCACTGGTGCAGTCCCTGACCACTTAGAAGGTACCCTGATGTAGTTCAAACAAGTTGCTGGTCTCATCTTGTGTCAGAAATTTTGCATTCTGGTTCAGAGACTAGTGTACTCTTGTATCTTATTTGACTACGTACTAGATTGTCAGAAAACGTTTCTTTTCATACTGTGCATGCATACTTGTGCATCCAAGTTCTGGTGGGAATAATTGTTCAGTTGTTTCAATATGAATGTCTTTACATTTCTCTCTCCTCGCCCTTGGACAGACTTTTCAGGTAGTGGGGGACAAGTCACATTTAACATTTAACTAAGGTGTTGGACCTGTAATGTGGATTAGGGCAAGTCTCATGCTAGCTTGCCTGCAGAAAACTACATCTCCTTGGAGCTCACCAAACATCAACGAATCTCTGCTGATGGGATCTGTTTACTGAATCTGGACATTCAGATAGAACATTTATAAGTCTTTTGCCTTTTACTACATATTGCTTTACCAGCATAAATGTCTGGTCTGTCTACCCTTTCGTTCTGTTTGTTAGGCTTTTGTCTCTGAAGAAGAACCATAACATTTAAACTGGATAATCTCAACAGTGTGATTCTGTTGTACAGAGCAGATGACAGTGACCCCTAAGGGTGCTTGCTGTACAGGCTCATCCTCTCTGTTGCCACCGTGTGTGACCTAATAACCCATCAAGCCACCCTTAAAGGTCCCAGAGGCTGGTCTTAAGGGTATTATGGGGGTCATCTGCTCCATCATGGTGGCAGGCGTACCTCACACAGGGAAGGACCATAATGGCTGGGTGACCCAGGTTGCAGCCATTCCACAGTTCCCTTGGATCTCGATCTATTGGAGCAGGAGACGGACATTAATCTTCCAGTAGGAAGTGAGGAGCTCTAAAGCCCTTAGTGTCTTGTGTTAGTTTGAGGCTTCCATAGACCCTTGGCTCAACTTCAGAGGAGAGGAAAGAATTGGGTCTCCAGCTTTGGGGCAGTCCATGTGGCAGGTCACCAGTGGAGCCACAGAGCCAGGAAGGCACGCTGAGTAGCTTATTCTTCAGAACTTAGATGTTTTATAAAATAAAAAAGTTTTTTTATTAGTGTGTGCATTTATTAATTGAAAAAGCTAGCGATCCTGAATGTTGAGCTGTAAGATAAGAAAAAAATCTAGAGTTAATTTTTAAAATATTTTTAAGGACAGCAATATGTTTCATTCTTCCAAAACACAAGCTGGCTGAATGTACTTTGTTCATATTTGTGAGAGAGTTCAGATCTGGGCTGACACCTGCACCTGACAGTGGTATAAATTTAGGGATGCACTGATATATCAGTTGGCTGTTGGATCAGCACTGATTAAAAAGAGAAATGACATTATCGGCTTATTTTGGTCATTGTAGCTGATGATTATGGCCATGTGCCTGGAGCACCCTGGCAAGCATAGTCTGGTCCTCATGCCCGGCTGCTGGCCTGAACCCACAGCAGACTACATGTCCCAGCGAGCAGCAAGAGGGGGCTCTGGGGAGCAGTCGCAGGGTACTTTGTTCAGAAACAAGGACCATTGTTGGCTCCTGCTGCCGCTGCCATGGTAATGCTGTGTGCAGAGTGGGGACCTGAGCACTGGGGCTGCCGTGGAGTTGGGCTGTGCATGGACAGAGGAAGGTGCCACATGAGGAACATTCCTCTCTGCTGGGTACTGGGCGCCTTGCTAAAGCAGCTTTTCCCCGGTGGTTGTGGGAGCTTGGCTGTGTGGGGCCTACCGGTGCTGAGGCAGTGGTGTGGTCTGGGGCTCCAAGTGTGCCTGACACCACTGTCCGTGCAAGGGACCACCCTGCCTGCCAGGGATAGCAGCACAAAAAGTGCATGAAGTAGCTGCTTTAGCATGGTGCCATAAGCATGCCATGGTAAAGCTGTGTTGCATCTATTTTTGGCTGTGGGCCAGTTTGGCTGTGCTAGTTTGTTCTGAAAACAGTGTAGTCATGAACTTGGTGTAAGCCAGGACTGTCCAGCTCTCATGAATAGGTCTGTACTGGAGCATTTCTTGTGGGCTGGATGTCTCATCTTTGGATCTGGCCTGTGGGGCTTTTCCGTGTAGTTGCTGGCATCGCTGTCCCAGCAGCATCAGTAAATTTGTTAATGTTGCTGCTGCTGCTGCTAAAGCCCCATTGCTGCAGTTGCTAGAGTAATTATTTTGAGAAGGTGAAGAAGTTGTGTTTATGGTAGCCTATGCAAAATGATGCAGAGTGGTGCTGATTAGTCTGTCTTTTGTCAACACTACAACTATCATTTTGTTAAGACATTCTCTAGTAAAATGTCACGTTGGATTAAATATTGGAAGATAAAGGCACTGAATGATTTAAAAATTTACTTCTGTTTTCAATGAACTTTCAGATATGTCTGATTCCGGAAGTTTTGCAGCATCACGTTCTCGGCGTGAGAAAAAATCTAAAAAAGGGCACCAGGAAGCTCTTGAACGTTTGAAAAAAGCCAAAGCTGGTGAAAAATTGAAATATGAAGTAATTATATATTTTTTAAATTCTTTTTGTATAAAATATTTGACTGTGGGGGGGGCAGTGAATATCACTGCTTACTCTGTTATGAAAAGCCCTTTATTTTACTTCCAAAAATGGTGTGAAATCAATTGACACATGCCTTTGATACCAGTTTGTGTTAATATTTAATAACTTTCAGAATGGGTTAGTATCTGTTTCAGCATTTCCACTTCCCTTGTGATTGTAAATTAAAGGCACACATAAGAAATATTCTCAGTTATTAAAATGTTTCTTCCTGTTTAAGCACAAAGGTTGATCTGCCTTGACTGTTATTTAGCAGTGAAGGCCTTGTCTTCAGGATTTAATGACTTAATCAATACATGCTGCAGCAGGAAACACTTTTATTTAGGAACTTCAAATTATGTTACAGTCCAAACAGGATGACATTAATACATGACACTTCTGCAAGGAAAGCAAAATGTGTTTATATTGCTATAATGAAGAAATGGCATAACAATTATCCAGATAGAGGTCATTTGATACTTTTGAAATTTGTACTGTTTATAACATTCATAGAATCATAGAAAATACAGGTTTGAGGGGACCTCAGGAGATCATCTAGTCCAACCCCCTGTTCAAAGCAGGACCATCCCCAATATCATCCCAGCCAAGGCTTTGTCTAGCCAGGTCTAAAAAACCTCCAGCGATGGGGATTCCACAATCTGTTCCAGTGCTTTACTACCTTCCTAATGAGAGAGTTTTTCCTAATATCCAACCTAAACTTCTCCTGCTGCAACTTGAGACCGTTGCTCTGCCATCTGCCACCATTGAGAACAGTCTGTCTCCATCCTTTCTGGAACTACCCTTCAGGTACTTGAAAGCTGCTATTAAATCCCCTCTCAGTCTTTTCTTCTCCAGACTAAATAAGCCCAGTTCTCTCAGCGTCTTCTCAGAAATCATGTGCCCTAGCCCCCAACCATTTTTGTTGCCCTCCACTGGAGTTTCTTCAATTTGTCTTTGTCCTTTATAGTGGAGGGACCAAAACTGGGCACAGGGCTCCAGATGTGGCCTCACCAGTGCTGAATAGAGGAGAATAATCACTTCTCTTGACCTACTGTCAACAAACTTCCCAGTGTTGCAAAGAGGACTAACGGCATATTGGTCTGCAAAGGCACAATGGTACATATTCAGCACTGTCCACTGTAACCTTCAACTCTTTTTCTGCCAAGCTGCTGCTTAGCCAGCTAGTCATAGTTTCATAGATTTAGGGTCGGAAGGGACCTAGTAGATCTTCTAGCCCGACCCCCCGCCAGGGCGGGAGAACAACAAAACCCCAAAACAAGAAACGGGACTCAAATGAGTCCAGCCAGGTAGGCATCCAGCCTCTTCTTAAAGACCCCCAGGGTAGGGGCCAGCACCACTTCCCTTGGAAGTTGGTTCCAGCTCCTAGCCGCCCTAACTGTGAAGTAGTT